GAGCCAAGGTCTTTGATCTCTCTCTCTCTCTCTCTCTCTCTCTCTATATATATATATATATATATGTATATATACATATATATATATATATATATATACATAGATATATACATCTAAACATATATAAATATACATACATCTAAACAAAATAAATATATATCTATATATAATATATATTTGTTTGTGTTGAGGCGAGCCGATGTCTTTGATCTCTGTATACATCTATATATAAACACGTAAATAAATAAATATATATATATATATACATATATATACATATATATTTATATTTATTTATATATTTATTTATTTGTGTTTAGGAGAGCCGACGTCTTTGATAGTGTCTCACTTGCCTCACGGGCCGACAGCATATTTTTCTTTGAGCGGTGTTTGTTTAAGACACGATTTAGCAGAGAAGCCGCCTAATATGTCGGAGGTAGGCTTAAATATCTCTTCAAGCTTTGTTTGATTGACTAGTTAGGAGTTGAAGGGAGGCTCTGTTTGCTCTTATTCAAATCTAGTTTTGTTTATTTATGCATGCATGCTGCAGCTTGCAGGATTCCTTTCAGTGTCTCCTTTTATTTTACTGTCTCCTTTTATTTTACTGTCTCCTTTTATTTTACTGTCTCCTTTTGATTTGTTTGTCTCCTTTAACACCTCTTATTTATTCAACGGCGTTTATTATCTCTTCGTCAATCCATTTGTTTAACTGTCTCCTTTATTTAACTGTCTCCTTTTATTTAACCGTCTCCTTCTACTTAACTCTCTCCTTTTATTTAGCTGTCTCCTTCTACTTAACTGTCTCCTTTTATTCTGTCTCCTTCTACTTAACTGTCTCCTTTTATTTAGCTGTCTCCTTCTACTTAACTGTCTCCTTTTGTGTGGCTGTCTCCTTGTATTTAACTGTCTCCTTGTATTTAACTGCCTCCTTGTATTTAAATGTCTCCTTCTACTTAACCGTCTCCTCCTACTTGGCTGTCTCCTTTTATATAACTGTCGCCTTTTACTCAGCTGTCTCCTTTTACTTATCTGTCTCCTTTTGTTTAACTGTCTCCTTTTGTTTAACTGTCTCCTTTTATTTGTTTAGGCCCCTCCTCATTTGATTTTTCATGGTTGTTCGTCTCCTTTGGGTCTGCGAGTGTCTTCAATATTAAAATATCTCTTCCCGCCTTCTACAGCAACAAGCCAGCGAGTGCATGCATTTATTAATATCAATGACTGTCTCCATTTTCGTCATTACACCTGGACAGACACCCGAAATCAACATCATAGTGCAAACCAACAGCCTTCCTCTTGTACGTCTTATACTGCTGCTGTCTATACATATTATATATATATATATATATCTGTATAAACATATATATATATATATATCTCTGTATAACTATATATAATTAATATAAACAGCATAGAGGGATTCGTGTTGCGTTGCTGGTTGTCTCCTTCCTGTGGTTGATGTCTGAGTGCTGTCGCCTTTTAACTCTTGCTTTCTTTTACTGTCTCTCTCTGCTGCTTTTGTTGTATGTTTATGCCTCTTTTTGTTTTGTTATTATTATTATTATTATTGTCATTATCATTATATCTCTTTTAAGTGGCTTTGTCTCTTCTTTACTGTCTCCTTTTCTTTTCATCTGTTTCCTCGCATGCAGCTTCTGATTGTCTCCTTTTATTGCATTTTTTAATTGCTTTTTTATGTTTTTTGCTGCTTCTCTGCGCAGCAACAAAGGAGACAGGAGACACCCAAAGCAGCAACAGCAACAGCAGCAGCAGCAGCAGCAGCAGCAGCAGGGGGGGTTTGGAGCTGACTGAGGTGGGCCCACGCTTTTGTCTTAAACCGTATAAAATAGAGTTAGGGACAGCAGACATGAGAGATTTAGAAAGTGAGTGGAAGCTGCGCCCCTTCCTTAACTCTAAGATCGGAAGAGCACACGTAGTTGAGGTGTATAGGCACCTCAAGCAAAGACCTGCAGCAGCGTTGTTGCTTTCTGCTCTACGTACACCCCAAATAATACAGTACAACGGGGAAAGCAAACAATATACACACACAACGCATGCATACAAACCAACCAAGCCCCAAAAGAGACACCTGCATGCACTTGCATGCACTTTTTGCGTTTTTCTATGCACAAAGATGTACACTCAAATAAGGGATGTTAAAGTGTCTCCTTTTCTCCGATGCTCGTGTCCCCCCACAACCCACAGCTAGCTCCAGCTAGCTATAGCTAGCTGCAGCTAGCTCTAGGCAGCTATAGCTAGCTGTCAAGTAGCTAGCTGTAGCTAGCTGCTAGCTAGCTAGCTGTAGCTAGCTGTTATTGTTATTGGCTGGCTGAGGTGTACATTGTGAGTAATAGTTGCTGCGCTTTGTCTGCTGCACCTGTAAAGGGCAGCAACTGCAGCGCCAGCAGAGGGGTCCACAGAAGCCAAACAAAGCCCCAAAATCCCTTGCACTGCATGCATGCATGCATGCATGCATGCATGCATGCAGAAGAAGCCACTTCCCTCTCTCTGCGGCGGGTGAAGTGCAACTCCTTGAATTTATTTCATTTTATTTGTTTTACTGCTTCTGCTGAGGTGTACGCGCAGCTCTGCTGCGCTGAGTTGAA